GCATACACCTCTAACATTTGCAGCTCAATAGGTTTTTTCAGGTCTTTTTGCTGGTTATTCTTTTTTTTATTTTGTGGCCCAGAACCCCACAAAAATGGTAAAAATTACCATTGACACAGTGAGCTCTGTCATTTCCTGAAGAGAAACCATTCTCACTGGGAAAAAGCATCTTGGGTTTTCAAGAGTCTTGAGCAAGACTTACTGGTAATCCATCAGCTTCAAGTTTTAGATTACAACAGCAGGACCTCTTGAGGGAAAGTCAGGGTGAGAGAGAAGAGTATACTAAATCTGTCATGCCTTCTATACATCTGGAGATTACAAGATGAAGTAAGCTCAATTTACCCAGTAAACATGTGAAAACTCTACATCATGCCACAGAATTTTTTGCAGGGACTAAGCCCTTAAAATACGGAAACTATTCTAGGAAGCCCACGTAGAAAAAGATCAACTCTTTTACCAATGTGTACAGAATTACTAAAATCAACACACAGTCTTTGAAAGGTTGTCCTTTAAGAGGGTCTGAGCTCTTGAGATAAGATTTAGCTAAAGAAAAGTTTTTCCTTTGAGCTCAAATACCTGTTGTGGAGAAACAATCCATGCACAAGAAACCATTGGTAGGCTGGTTTTCTCTACCCAGCAGCACAGGACTCGTTACATCAGTGGTTAGAAGGCTACTATGGAACCATGAATACAGCAGACTGGGTCAAATATTGACACAGGGGCCTGGGGGTCTGAAGGACTAAGCTGCCTGACTCCCATCACTCCTGGTAATCATGTTTTGCTTCAGTTCCTAACAGTGTGGCTCCCTAGTATCGCTGCTTCAAAAAGTCAGCTTGCACTGCTTACAGATTTCTAGGTGGATGGTTCTTCCTCTGCTACGCACCATAGGGGAAGTCTTTGGTTTGGATATGCAAGCCTTGTTACCTTTGAGTGAGAGAAAACTGCATTCTTCTTCACTAACACCATGTATTACTTCAGACCACTGCAGAAAGCTCAGAGAGCAATGTATTCCCCTGGAATCTCTACCTGTATGAAGCTTATGTTGTCAGGAAGATAATCAACCAAATAATTAGAGGTTATCACAAGAGCAAGTAATCAGTCTGGTTTGGCTGTACACGCTCGTGTGTGCATATGTGTACATGCAGGAAGAATAGAGGGGAAGTAAAAATCTACAGGAAACCCATTCCACAAAGAATGCAACTCTGGGCAGCTTACACTACAGCAAAACCCATTTTCAACATCAAAGCAGTTGAAACAGTGAGAAAGGACAGCAGTCTTTGTAGGTTGTGAACATTTTGTACAGGTCCATTAAGATAAGCAAAGATTAAGACTTGCCATCAGACTAACTGCTACACAGCTCTTAGAAACAATAGTAAGAAGGTCTTGATATACTTTTTTTCTGGAATTATCACAACCCACTGACCACAGCCAAAATGCTCAACCCAAAAATACCTACTCTGTAGACTGATGTACAGATTTCCCACTTATCTGCAAAAATGCAGTCAGAGAAAAAGCTGCTTCTTCCAAACAGGACCAACTACACATCTTCCAAGAAGGACTGCAAGGTACATACCAAACAGCATATGCACCAAATACATCAAAGTAAACAGCAACAGGCAAATATGTACTTATTTCTGCAAGAGGATGCAAGTCTGAAGGCAGATGTGAGGTAGGAATTGACTGCGTCGCTTAGGATAATACATACCCAAGAACCTTTCTACAGTATTTTCCTTTAGTTGGCTTCATGCCTGAGACCCTTAAATTGCTCTTCACGAATCCTTACTTTTCTGTGTTCACAAGGACTTTGATGGGTTTTAATGCAGCCATGTTGCCAAAGTCTTCACCATGCTGTAGGAAAGTACTCTTTCTTTCCAGAGTAAACAGTAACAGCAAATCTGTAAGAATCTCAGGCATGGCTTTCATTTTCACAGGAAGTAAACAACAGCAATATAATCTACTACGTTGCCACAAATTTACCCCACTTCATCAGTGGAGACCAGTGCCCTTTGAGGAGTCTGAGGGGAAAAAATATCTTGTTGCTTAGGAGAAGCTCCTTTCTGTCACCACTTTTCAAGAACCTTCCTCTTGAAAACCATGTCCTGTACCTGTCTGTACTCCAAGCCCATTAAAATCCACTGCGTAAGAATCATGCCATTAACAGATTCCCTGCACTTGAGCCTGATCCCTACCCTCAGGGAAACAAACAGAACTATTGCCTTCCTGGATCCTTGGAGGACCCAAAGGCTTTGTTACATGCACTACCATTACATATGCATCTATGTTACATGTACAAAACAGCTTAACTGGAAATGGATCCAAAAGAAGTAGAATTCCTCTACTCAATTATGAGAAAATATGTGAAAATTTGGCTAAGAGTTTTACTGGTTTGATTTCTTGAATAATATTTGATGGCACTACCTCAAATCTCTTCCAGTGCCAAAGAGCTCAGTATTTTTTTTCACATCTGTGACAAGAAAAAGGACTAAAATTCTAAGGAAGCTTTCAATTATTTTTCTCAGGCATAGAGAGATGCTAATCTTGGAGCAATTAACAAGGCACTCATGTTCAGTTTTCAAGGTTTTGTGCCCATGATATTATATTTTTTTACATGTAAGAAACTGTATCTGCCCAAATGAAGTAAGTCCAGGCTGGACCTGGCTCTGACATTTCTCAGGGTACATGGCAATTTACTAGGTGACCAACACAGAAAATAAGCAACACCCAGACACACAGACTTCCTCTCTCTGAACACTTCCCATTTACATCTAAGATGGAATGAGAGGTTTTGTTGACCATAGCTCTTACATTACAGAACCCTTAACTTCTGCAACAGCAACCTGGACTGCAGCTGGCACACTGAGGTTTCTTCCTTCTTTTCTATATAGATATGGGGAATAAAAGCAAAACAGAGATGGCTTCTCACTAGTCTGTGTTTGTAACGGAGCTACAAGGCATAATGATTTGTTGAGGAGAGCAATATTTAGAGAATACATCATTCTCCCCAATAGCTTCCACAGCTAGCACATGATGCAACCATCTGGTCCTCTAACAACTGCCTTTTGTACATTTTTGCAAGGACTCTGGCAAGAGATAGCACAAACAAATGCTCCTGTAAATCAAACAGATCCGCTGCTGGTAACACCACCAGTGCTGGAAGGAGACACAGCATAATAAGTACTAACATACCAGTGAGTGTTCAACCTTGTTAAACCCATGTACATCTTTGACAGAGACCTGTACTATGAGTACTGAAAGTGTTTCAGATCTCTCACCATATCTGTGACAGGTCACAATAAATCCAGAAAAACCAAGATAGAATTGGGTCCTGTATCACAAAATTTCAAAACTGAGGATGGTTAACTTCAGCAACAGTGAGAAGACAGATAAACCTACAGGCTCAAGTGGTTTCTCAGGCAAAGTGAAGCACACCTGCTCCTACCAGCTGAAGACCAGAATCTAACCTTTGGAAAAGACATACAAAGGCTTAGGCCCCAATATTGTCCCAGCAGTACAACCAAAAGTTTTGGGATAATAAGAGAGTTTAATATTGGCAGGTTCAACTGTCATCTAGATCAAGAAAAAGGAAAAATACAAGGTACAATAAGCACCTACAGCAAATTCACTTTTCACACAACGTGTTTGCATGCCTTGGGACCTACTTCAAAAACTATTAGCGCACACAGGTGAGCTCAGCCTATTATGCACTGTGATTAACAGCTGAACCTTTGCTCAGAAAGGTCTCCATTGTGCAGCATGCTTTCTGTGCTCCTCACACAGCTCCTAAGACCAACGTTCATTGCTACACCTATGTGCCAGAAACCACCACAGCTCAGAGCTCACAGAAGCTCTTTAAAGTGTCAGGATTTAAATGGAGGCTTGACAAGACATATGCTAAGCAACGCACTCATGTGCTGTTCTTACTCTTTTCTCACAACTCCTTTTCATAACCTTTCTTCTCCCACTCAGACTTGTAGCTCATTCCTCTTCAGAGCAGCAGACCACTGTCGCTTTGTCCACTGTCACTCAGCAGTGGAGGAAACCGAAGGCTGGCAAAAGTGATTACTGTTCTTTGTTGTTTCTCTAACTAAACAGTACACATACTTCTTTCTGACATTTAATAAAGGAGAATGTTAGGAGGTTTTCATAACCTTTCTTCTCCCACTCAGACTTGTAGCTCATTCCTCTTCAGAGCAGCAGACCACTGTCGCTTTGTCCACTGTCACTCAGCAGTGGAGGAAACCGAAGGCTGGCAAAAGTGATTACTGTTCTTTGTTGTTTCTCTAACTAAACAGTACACATACTTCTTTCTGACATTTAATAAAGGAGAATGTTAGGAGGTTGCTTTTATAT